CAACATTTTGCCACTGCTTTCTGCTGCAGGGATAGATCCATTTGAAATCCCTGGATCCTTTTCAGTTATGACATTGATCAGAACAGGCTTAGTCTTGAAAGTTGCCTGTCGCAATTCATATACCCTGGAGTGTCTCTGTTGGAGGAGCTAGAGGGAGAGGCATAACGGACTATGCAACTGCTGACTTAATTTCTTTTCTGGCTGCCCTGCATCTGATTTGCATCACACATATAAGCACACAACCCTTCAGACTTTCCCACATGCATCAGGGCTTTGGTCTCGCTCAATTTAACATAACTGGTTTCAGCCTACATGACAAAGCCGGTGAATGCTAATGTGAGCTGTATGCTGGAACCTGTACAAGTCATCCAGATTAATGGCAGTTTTATCGTATATTCACAATTCCCTTCCACCTATCTTGCCCCCTTTTGATGAGTCTGGATATACCCCAGAACACTCCATTTGGTCCCTAATACTTGGTTGACAAAAGAAGGAAAAATGATAACCTACCAAGTAAAGACTCGATAAATAAGAGCACGTTGGAACAAGCCACTGGTGCCTTTGGGGTGGAGGAAAGGTTAATGAAATTTTGACAGCCAGGATTTAAACTCTTTCTGAGAGCCAAGTCCTTCTGGGACTACAACATAAGAACACACAAGTTCTGAAACGTACCGCAGGTGGTTACCAAAAAAGCATTTTCTCCCCACCCAAGTGCAGATATGCAAGGCGGTGGAGCTGGTTTTGAAAATCTTAGGAGGGAAAACAAGCCTTAAGGCACATCAGAAGCACATGGAAGAGAAGCACCCAGCAGTTCCCAAGTCCCCTTCAGCTGAAGTTTGAGGCTTTCAACCGGTGGACGTCCGAAAGAGGAGAGAAGTGATACAAGCTGAATTTAGGACACCAGGCCTGCATTATTGGAACACAGAGCAGCTAGCATGGGGAGGGGAAGAGAAGGAAAATATCTTGGGCTGCTGCTCTCAAAGGGAACTGTGTGGCTCTCCAGCAGTCTTTGGGGCAGGGCAAGGCAAAGCAGCAGAGTTTTCTATTCAGGGAAGAGGGGCAGGAGCAACAGCTCCCCCACCAATGTTCCCGAGGTGCAGCAGGATCAAGCGCCGCACAGAGGTTACAAAGAACAACTTGTGGAATGTCAGGAGGCTGTTTACCCCATGCCTCACCCTTCAAATGTCTTGAGCCATCTTTCTATGTTTCGAGAAAGTGTACAGTGACTCACAAAATCTTATTGAAATAACTGTTGGAACAAATTTTGAGTCTAGTGGCACCTCTAAGACCAACAAAGTTTACTTCTGGGTGTAAACTTTTGTGCGCTTATACCCAGAATTAGACTCTGTTGGTCTTAAAGGTGCCACTGGACTCAACACTTTTGTTCTAATTGCTTCAGACCAACATGGCTACCCACCTGAATTTGAAATCTGCTGTTAGCCTTTGAGTTGCCCTTGGACTTCCGTTTTAGTTCAGTAATCTTCTCAAGCATTCAACCATTCCACCCAAAGCTTGTTCTTATCATTTCTTTCCTCCTGAAGCTTGCATACACATGCAACCAATAATGCACAAAGGCCAGTTTCTGTGGGTGCATATCTAAATGTAATTAATGATTAGCAGGACATTTCAGGGGGGGGTTTCTTCAAGGGAAAAAAAATTCAGAGTTGACTTTATTTCCACAAAGTGGGCCCTAATTGTATAGAATCATAGAGTTGGAAGGGACCTCCAGGGTCATCTAGTCCAACCCCCTGCACAATGCAGGAAATTCACCAATACTTCCCCCCGCCCACACCCTCCGTGGCCCATTCCATGCCCAGAAGATGACAAAAACCTCCAGGATCCCTGGTGAAACTGGCCTGGAGAAAAAATGCTTCCTGACTCCAAAGTGGCGATCAGCATTCCCCTGGGCATGCAAGAACGGTCCACAAGAACTAAGCACTGAGGCAACCCTTCCTGCCTTCCCTCTCATGATCTGCCTAAGTTCACAGAATCCGCATCGCTGTCAGATGGCCATCTCACCTCTGCTTGAAAACCTCCAAAGAAGGAGAGCCCACCACCTCCCAAGGAAGCCTATTCCACTGAAGAACTGCTTTGTCGGGAAGTTCTTCCAAGCCAAAAACTCTTTTGATCTAATTTCAACCCGTTGGTTTTGGTCCGACCTTCTGGGGCAACAGAAAACAACTCCGCCCCATCCTCTAGATGACAGCCCTTCAAGTACTTGAAGATGGCTATCATATCACCTCTCAGTCGTCTCCTCTCCAGGCTAAACATACCCAGCTCCTTCCAACTTTCCTCATAGGACTTGGTCTCCAGACCCCTCACCATCTTCACTACCCTCCTCTGGACACATTCCAGCTTGTCTATCTCCTTCTTAAATTGTGGCGCCCAAAACTGAACACACTACTCTAGGCGAGGTCTAACCAGGGCAGAGTAAAGTGATACCACCGCTTTGCATGATCTGGACACTCTACTTCTATGTGTACTAAAACTCTGTAACAGGTCTTAGAATGTGTGTCTAGAATATATAGATAATAGTGACCACTGAGGAAGGCCCTTAGGGGCCGAAACGCATTTGGTCTTCAGTTGTAAATTATTTACCCATCATATGTATGTATAAGCATTTATAGTCTGATCTTAGACAAAGTAATTTTTAATCAGGAGAGTTTTAACATGTGTACACCTTAATAGGAGCTGCGGTGGCTCAAGTGGTTAAGACGCTGAACTGCAGGCTGTGGAAGGTCAGTAGTTCAGTGGTTCAAGACCCGGGTGCCGCAAGACAGGGTGAGCTCCTGTCTCCAGTTCCAGCTCCTGCCAACCTAGCAGTTCGAAAGCAAGAAATTGCAAGTAGATAAATAGGGACCACTTCGGTGGGAAGGTAACAGCGTTCCGTGCGCCTTGGTGTTTAGTCATGCCGGCCACATGACCACGGAAACGTCTTCGGACAGCGCTGGCTCTTCGGCTTTGAAACGGAGATGAGCACCGCAACCCTAGAGTCGGATTCGTCTGGCTTTCGAGCAAGGGAACCTTTACCTTTACCTTACACCTTAATAAATATTTGTACTTTTATATATATGGTTTAGCTTAGCCCTTTTTGGTTCGTAGTCATATCCTGGGTTGAGCCCCCCCCCCCTTTTCCAGTTTTTGTCTGACCTTCTGGGGCAACAGGAACAACTCCGCACTGTCCTCTATATGACAGCCCTTCAAGTACTTGAAGACGGTTATCGTATCACCTCTCAGTCATCTCCTTTCCAGGCTAAACATACCCAGCTCCTTCAGCCTTTCCTCACAGGACTTGGTATAGTTTGAAGTCCTCTGGTTTCTCTTCATATTGCATAACTCTTTCACCTTTTAGTAAGGCATTTTGATTTTTACAAGTACAGCTATATCTTGAAAAATCCGAACATTGTAAAAACATTTCAGTGTTGCAGCATTGGCTGTCTTGTTGCTGCTTCTTTCTTCCCAGAACAATCACATAGCTTGATCTAGCCAATCAAGATTCACTTATTGAACAACATGTCATTATGGCGCTAACAAGCCCATCAGTTTTGACCACTTGAGGTCAGCGAGGACCAATGAAGCTGACTGAAAGAAATCTAATTAATAGGTGGATATTATAAGAACTATCAAAACAATCATGGAAAGAACAGGGTCCTTTTTTGTACGATGGAAATATTCTCAAGATACAGTAAGCAGTTTTGGCTCAGAGTCTTAATCCAGGTGCCCATTTGCACCCCAACTGAGCTGCCTGGATGCACCTTCTAGCACAGACACTGTGACCACTAGCTGAACCATAGTAGTCAACTGGAACTGTGTCTGTAACAGTAGGTTTTTTATTAATGGAATTATCTACATATATATATATATACACTATCTCCACTGCGAGGAAATCGACACAACCCCACATCATGGGAGGGGTTGGCATGATGTGGAGAAGAAGAGCTTTTACTTTGGCAAGACTGAATGTTCTTCCCTCGGCAGTTTTGGAGGGCAGATATAATAAAGTATCATACTCTAATAGAACATGCAGATGCTCATATCATACAATCGAAACCATTGAACATATGATTATGGAGTGCCCTATATTCGATGAGTTGAATGCTAATTTAGTCACCCCTTTACTTAAAGATAAGGAGCTGCAGTGGCTCAAGTGGTTAAGACGCTGAACTGCAGACTGTGGAAGGTCAGTAGTTCAGCAGTTCAAGACCCGAGTTGCTGCATGACGGAGTGAGCTCCCATCTCTAGTTCCAGCTCCCGCCAACCTAGTAGTTCAAAAGCAAGAAATTGCAAGTAGATAAATAGGTACCACTTCGGTGGGAAGGTAACAGTGTTCTGTGCGCCTAGGTGTTTAGTCATGCCGGCCACATGACCATGGAAACGTCTTCGGACACGCTGGTTCTCCGGCTTTGAAACGGGGATGAGCACCGCAACCCTAGAGACGGATTCGACTGGCTTTCGAGCAAGGGAACCTTTACCTTTTTCTTTAAAGATATGGACTGGTGCTGACACCAAACCTTGACAATATAATTTCCAAATCTCTACCAAAGGTTAATTCTGAGTGTAGCTTCCAATTTCCTTCCTGCAGCTGTCTGTCAGACAAGAATACAGAAGGGCATGCAGTTTGTTATCACAAGAGACGTGACTCTTCAGGGCAATTGCATGATGTGATATCGTTATGTCCTGGGGCTGATTTGGAGCACTGTGGGATCTTTCTCTTGTAACTTGAAGTAAAGGCAACGCATGGGGCTTGTGAATGCCTCCTATTCCATCTTGGTTTATGGTTTTGTGTTATTGATTTAAACCATTTAAGAACGCTTTGTTTTGTTTTTAAACTTTCGATTTTCTTAAAACATGTTCTAGTTTATTATGTCAAAACCATTTAAAAACAAAACAAAGCGTTCTTTAAAAAAACAAATCAATAACACAAAACCATAAACCAAGATGGAATAGGAGGCATTCACAAGCCCCATGCGTTGCCTTTACTTCAAGTTACAATTAAAAAAAAAAACCTGTAGGGAGACATCTGTCTAACATGCCCAAAACTGCAATTCTCAAACAGGTGGTTTTTAAAAATAAAAATAAAATGACTTTGGGATGCGGCAAGATATCTGAAAAGTTCATGTCAACTCAAATTCGTTGTTTAATGTGAACTGTTTCCACGGAGCTTTCGGAGCGTGGCACAGCTCAGGAGGGTAAGAGAAGGTGCTTCAAGTGACTGCTTTCGGTTTGTGTTTCACCACACCTTTGTATCAGATCATTCCTGACAAAAGGATCAAAGAGCACCAGAAGAGGGGGGGGGACCCTTAAAGAGAAAGATCCCACAGTGCTCCAAATCAGCCCCAGGACATAACGATATCACATCATGCAATTGCCCTGAAGAGTCACGTCTCTTGTGATAACAAACTGCATGCCCTTCTGTATTCTTGTCTGACAGACAGCTGCAGGAAGGAAATTGGAAGCTACACTCAGAATTAACCTTTGGTAGAGATTTGGAAATTATATTGTCAAGGTTTGGTGTCAGCATCCGAGTGCTCTAACAGTGCGGCTGTTAGGGAATGTTAAGAGCAGAGTATCTGTTATTATGGTTCACACTCTATCTTTGCATAGTGCTCTCCAGAGAAATAAAGTATTAAGAGGTTTTAAATAAAAAGAAAACTTGCTAAAATCAAGGAACACTGGAGGGGAAAAAGATATTTGAGGGAAGCAAGAGGTAAAGAACAGAAACACAACCTAGAGGATTTTTCAACAGTCTTCGCAGGCTATGTATTTTTCAGGTCGAATAGAAAAATTTTAAGAAATGCAGAACAGCAATTCTGTATAAGGAAGCAGTAATTTGTAGACAACCATTTTTTCAGTTTTGCCTTATGGGGACTGCAGCTTGGAATATTAGACCCACAGCATGGAAACACACATCCCTTTTAAGAAATGCAAAAAAATGAGAGAATGAATTAGCTGGGAACTCGCTCTTCAACTAATAATCAGATTCTAAACTGCTTGGAAGAGTGGTATGAGGAACAGAGATCTTTTCAGTCCTCCGAAATACTTCCCTGGGGAAAAAAGGAGGCACGAAAATAAAAAAAAAGACAGACACGAATGCAAAAGTGTTTCCTTAGAGCTCCACAAATGGACTAGAACTCAGGTTCTGCCCCCCCCCCCCGCCTGATGGACTTTGGGTATTGCTTGCCCCTGGAAATATGAACCTGTGAGCTGAGCACTTACAATCGCCTAATATCTGGTAGGTGGTGACCAACACATATAAAAAACACAAACACTCCCCCCTCACCCCTCAAAGAGCATCTTGCCAACCACTTTACAGAGAGAGATCAACAACATGGGGCTCTGGGCTCATTCTTTCTTTTCACTGTTTTCTGGGGCGATGGGGTCAGCGGGGGGCTCCTCCACCATGGCACTGTTGCTCTCTGACCCGGTGTTGCTGTCGCTGGTTCCTTCCTCTGCCATGCTCTCCACTCCTTCTTGGCCACTCTCCTTGTCTTCTGGAGTGGATGTCCCTTCCCCGTTCTGCTGGGTCTCGATCGCTTCCTCTGGAGGAGGCTCCTCTGTTGGAAAGAAATTTTTATTTCTGTCAATGAGATATCCATGTGCTAAACATCTGTGTTTGTTGCTGCCCACTCTATCTGCTAGGGCTTAGGGGCAGAATGGGAATTCTGCAGGAACGGACGAAGGTGCCTTACACTGAAACAGACCCTTGGTCCCTCAAGGTTAGTCTTGCCTACTCAGACTGGCAGCAGCTCTCCAGGGTCTCAGGCGGAGGTCTTTCACAACACCTACTACTTGACAGTTTTAGCTGGAGATGCCAGGAATTGAACCTGGGACCTTCTGCATGCCACACAGATGCTCTAAACACTGAGCCCCAGCCCCTTCCCAAAGGAGGGAGGAACTGGGACAGAGGGTAGTGATCTCCAACTGATGTGGCCTTTAAACTCTTTTTAATATGCTCCAGTTTTAAAATTTCGTCTTAAGTTATGTGTCATTCTCTGCGCTGCCCTAAATAAACTTTTGCAGCTCAACTTGCTAAAAAAAAAAGGGTCACCTGTCTCCATGGGAGTATTCCCCTCCTCCTTCTTCTCCTCAGCCTTGCTCACGGCTTGCTCCCCCTCAGTGCTGGCACTGTTCTGACTGCGTTCGGCTTGCTCCGCTGCTTCTTTCTCCCGTTCCTCCTGCCGCTTGCGGGCCTGTTCCTCTGCTTGAGCTATTTCCGCAGCTATTTTTTCCATGTCCACTTCTACCTTCAGGCTACACAGCTGAGGGTGGAAAGAGAGAAGTCCCGTCACTTCCGAATCCAAGGCTCTCATCGGGTTGTGTTCAATGCTCCCTCTAAGCTGTGAAGTCCTGTGAGCAAAAATTCTACTTTGTGAGCAGGCTGTTGATTTGGCTGCTACATAAATTAGTTTGCTCTGGACTGGAGCCCTCCTTCCTGAGCTAAGACAAAAATGTGTGAGCCGGAGGGTAAAAAACTGTGAGCTAGCTCACGCTAACTCAGCTTAGAGGGAACACTGGTTGTGTTGTCATCCTGGCCTAGGGCTCCCATCGCTCCTTGGCCCTGAAGTCACCAGGTGAACCCGCCTCTCTCTCCAGACGAAAGTCAAGCTGGCCTGCAGGCATTACCAGTGATCCACTTTATAAACACTCTCAACAAAGGCTGTCAAGATAATATATATGAGGCACTTGGGAAATTGTCATGTCATTAAAGAGACAGGCTGCAGAGAGGCCAACGGCACTTTCATACTCATTGAATAATGCACTTTCAATCCACTTCTAATGCACTTTGCAAGTGATTTTTGCTGTGTGAAAGGGCAAAATACACTTGCAAACAATTGCTAAACTGCATTGAGAATAGATTGAAAGTGCATTATTCAGTGTGAGGGAATGACTTCCATTTTGTATACCAAAAACCTACTTTTCAAATTGAAAGTTGCAGTCCCCTAGTTTCTAACAAAACACAAAAAGCCTAGCCAGCAATGTGAAATGTGTGGTTGTTTTCTGTGATGCCACACAGGGGATAAAGATGTAGGACTGAAGCAATACTAAGCACTAAGTGAATAAGCACAGCTCTGACGGACTTGGATGGAGAGAAGGGAGGAGGAGGCCAGCTCAAAGGTCCCTGTTTCTCTGTCACACACAAACACGCACACAAAACAAACTCCTGGTTGTTCAAAGAGCCAGGGGGAAAGCCTAACAAGGGGGGATTGGCATTTTTTGAGCATTTTTGATTCTTGAAGTTTTTGTTGGTCCAAAAGCAAATATTCATGCAGCAGCCTCTTGGTGTTCCTTCTTTTCTTTGAGAACCCTAGCCTGCGTGTGTTCCCCAGGTCCAGCTGAGCAAAGTGACGGTAGCAGCTCTGCACATCTACCCCAGCCGCGCTCTCTGGTCCTGTGGGCATCGAGTTTGCCATTGTAACTCTGGATGCATTGAGACAGTTTCACATATCTGTTTGCACTGCCAATTTTATGTAGATATACATTTTAGATATTTAAACCCTATTTTAGCCAACATGATGGACCTTCCTGATGCTTTAAAAGTGCACCGTCTTCTGAATGACTCCACTACTGAAATATCAGTGAAGGTTTTTACAATTCTCCGGTATATATAATTCTATTTTGGTCATGGACTCCCCTGAACATTCCAACACACTCCAAAATCAGTTCGCTCTCTGATCTGTCATTCAGACGGTCTCCCTATCCCCCACTGGCTGCTTTGCCTGAGTCCTGCCTCCAACATTCTAAACAGTTTGCTGTTTACAACCTGAAAGTCTGGAGAGCCTGTTTGGTGTAGTACAGGAGTGGCACATGTGGTTTTTTCACACATATTGGGTGCGTTCCGACGGGGGATTTACAACGGTATAGGTGCCGGTTCCAACCGGTGTACTTACCCGCGTTCACACGGCAAACATCTGCCTCCCGTCCCTAACCGTTGTAAAACCCTTTAAACAGTTGTACTCTGCCACTAAGTCCCCAAGTGGTGGTATCCTGAGTACAACGGTTGTAATCGCTGTACCCCCCCGTCTGATCGCTCTCCAACGTTGCAGAGCCACTTCCGTTCGGAAGCCAGAGGCTTCCGATTTCCACCCGCCATTTTTTTAAAAGGTAGGCGATGTGTGCTTGGGCGAAGCTTCGCCCTGGCGTTTCTTTAAAAAAAAAAAATGGTGCTCAGCCGGGCGGTCTCCTCAAAGCGCCATTTCCTGGAAGAGAAGGAAGGCCGAAGCGATGAAGAACTGCACAAGGAAGTCGTAGCGCCGATGACAGAAAGAGGGTGCTCTGAGCCCAGGAAAGCCAAAATGCGGCTTGATCGCTGCGTGAACTCTGGTGTGCCGTGGAAGGCCAGCAAGGGGGGGGGGACACACAAGCCCAGCTCTCGCTGCCTCGGCGGTACTGGATTACAAGTGCTGGGCAGAGAGAGAAGGGACAGCCCAGCGTTTGGTATGGTTCCTGAATCTTCCAGAGCAGGCTGCTTTCCTTTCCGTTCACCTGCATGCTTGTGCAGAGGGCTGTAGCAGCAAGCGCTGCGGTATCTGGAGGAAGACCCTTGGCTGACCATCGCTTTGGGTCCCCCCTCCCCTTCTTCGTTTTGCCATCCACCCCTTCTTCTTCCTTCCCCACCTCTTCCTTTTTTTGGGGGGGGGGTTATTTTGTTGTAAAGCGAGGAGAGGTCCTTAGTGTAACGGAGGAGTCCAGGACTTCAGGCCAGTTTGGTCTTTAAACTTTAAAGATAAGTCCTTACCTTTAAAGTTTAAATGTAATACGGGGTGTTTTGAGCATGCGCAAAGATCGCCATTTTGTGGATGGCTGCCTATGCGCATGCTCAAACTGAGTTTAAAAAAAAAAAAGTTTGCTGAAGAAGGATCCTGGCACCTCTCCATGGAGGCCAACTGTTTCTCCCCCGCCTCCGATCATCCTTGAGGGGGATGAGCATTTTGAAATCGCTGATATCCTTGATTCCAAGCTGAAACGTGGTAAACTCTGGTACCTCATTGAATGGGTTGATTTCGGTCCCCAGCACCGCGAATGGGTGGAAGAAGGGGATATTCGGGCCCCTTACCTGCTTCGTTGTTTCCACAGGAAGTTCCCGGACAAACCGGGAGGTCTCCCGCCCAGCCCGGGAGGTCTCCCGCCCAACCCGGGAGGTGGTGGTTAAAGTGTGTTTTTGAGGGGGCAGTATGTCAGCAAGCTGCCATGGTGTTCTGTGTGACTTCTGGTTGTACATATGTGATCCCTGTCCCTGCCAGCTGACCTATGTGTTTGCCTGCTGTAATGCCAAAGTAAAACAACTGGAGGATGTGAGGGGGAGAGTATGCTTCGCTGTAGCTTGTTATTTCTCAAGCCTGAGAACTGCACCTGTGTTGTGTCTACTGTTTGCCTGGTTCCCAAGATCTGAGCAAGCAACCGTTTTCTCCTGCCCGCCGGCGGGAACGTTATCCATTGGTTCTGTATCTAACTTGAATCCCTTTATCATGTCTGCCCTAACTGCTGGTCCCCAGTTCTAACAAAGAACGTGTTTGAGTATCTTTCCAATGCTTTGAAATAAACTTTGCTTTCTTTGAAACGTGAAATTATTGTGTGATCTTGGGGATCCACCAGCGGCTCTCAAACATCTGACATTTATTCTATGTGGCTCTTATGCTGAGCAAGTTTGGTCACCCCTGGTGTAGTGGTTAAGAGTGTGGACTCTAATCTGGGAGAACCAGGTTTGATTCCCCACTCCTCCACTTGAAGCTACTGGTGTGACCCTGGGTCAGTCACAATTTCTCTCAAGAGCAGTCCTCGAAAGAGCTCTCTCAGCCCCACCTACCTCACAGGGTGTCGGTTGTGGGGAGGGGAAGGGAAAGGAGACTGTGAGCCGCTCTGAGGCTCCTTCAGGTAGTGAAAGATGGGGTATAAATCCAAACTCCTCCTCCTCTTCTTCTGAGGTGCTACGGGACTTGAATCTAACCATTAAACCTAGATTAGCACTGATCAATGGCATAAAGTCTCAGATTTAACCTCTAGTGCTGCCAGACAAAATCTCTCAATGGGCTAGAGACTGTTAAAAATATCAAAGATTCCAACACTCTCTATTGTCAGCTCTAGAGAACCATGCACCACACCACACATGTATCTACGCACATGGAATGAAACAAAAGAGGTCACGTGTTAATTGGATTCCGTGCTACATGCAGAAAATACTTTGCAGAACCATACCCTCTTGAGCTCATTGTTAAAGGATTCTGTACTTTCCAAGAACTTCCTTTTCTTTTCCTGGTGACGTTCCTCTATTTGCAGGAGCTCAGCTTCCAGTTTCCGCTGGAAGACACACACAAAAAAAGTTATAAGATGAAGTGAACATATACATGTTACTAATATGTCAGATCAAATGCATAAATGTTACTGTGCTCGGGGAGGGGAAAATACAGATTTCAGAGCTAAAAATAAAAGTTCTTAAAGAAATATGGTGATGAAATCATATCCCCCAACACAAACAAGCCTGTTTTAAACCAGTTCAACTAGGGGCGGAAACCCTCTATTAATTGCAGATTTCTGTGGGTGCTGAGAACTCCTAGAGACGCGAACTCATTGCAGATTCATATTTCCAAGGATTAAGTTGGGAGGCAACCCTGACTACTGGCTTACATCCTTACTGTATACATGCCTTTAACTTCTGCCAGAAAGGAAAGTCCAATTAATTTTCAGAAGCATGCTGGCACTAAATGCTTCACAAATAGGATTAGTCTGCTAAGCTGAATGCTGCACATTTACTGGTTGAAATATTTTTCTCCTGCTTTCCCCCCCAAAGGTTCAAAATGGCTGACAAACACACACCTATACAGCCCAGAACAACAAAATCACTATACATAAGAACATGTAAAAACACTGCATTAACTAACTGCCCACTGTTATCAACACCGACAGAGTCTTCAGCAATACTAGAACAACTGTCGTCGCAGCCACCCAGCCAAGATCCTTCAGAAAAAAGGACTAGTGCATGCCATTGCCTCAAAACAGATGTGGTTCTCCTTATTCCTTCCACCTGGTCAAAGTAACTTGATTTGAACAATAACTGAGAAAGCCCACAATCAAGCTGAAGAAGAGTGAATGTGTCTAAAGAAGGGGGCAGACATCAAGAACTGATCCAGTATGCGAGTGATAGCCTTCACTATCCCACACAATGCCCAGGGTTACCAGTCTGAAGATAGCCTCAGAATACCGACAGATGGGTGCTTCTAATGCCTTTGGTACAGGATCTACACTTAATCTGACATCCAAGCCGCACCACATGGCAGAGATATTCTATCAGCCAAGAATCTAACAAAAATTTGTCACTAGGAACCACATCAGCTTCCATAGAAGCTGGTGTCAACAGATCATGGATTATGTTAAATAACCTTTCGAAACAAGAGCCCGCTGATGCAAAGCTTGCATTACCACCATCACCACTACGTGATGGGCTAGCAAATGGGCCCTATGGTGTGTTCCATCTGATTTGGCACCAGATTTCAGCTAACAATGTGACAGCCGTTTCCTAAGCAGTTTCAAGACCCCAAAACTCTCTAATCGACCAAAGGACCCAAGGAGGACAGATCCCATTAATTCAGCATTCCATGCTACCACAATGCCTTTGGCAGAATTGCTTCTGAGTTTCAAAACCAGCTGGGCCCATTAAGTCTAAAAGGGTAGATCATAATTTCTTTAATACCCTTACAAAGAGGTAGGAAGTAATCCTACCACCGACCTATCAATGACCATGAAAAGGGCTTCAATTCTAAACCTCTCACCAAATTACCAAAAACTAACTCAACAGAGAAAACAGATTCAGGTGGGCAGCCATGTTGGTCCGAAGCAACAGAACAAAGTGAGTCCAGTGGCACCTTTAAGACCAACGAAGTTTAATTCTGGGTATAAGCTTTCATGTGCATGCTTTCATGTGCGTGAAAGCTTATACCCAGCACTTCTACTGGCCCTGGAGTGATCAGACGTCAGCAGACATGGAGTCAGCCTGTTGGCCATTTTTTCAAAAAGTTGGTCCTCGGAGCATGCCCACAAGCACGGATGAGCCTGTTGGGATATGTAGTTCGCGGGGCTGTCAGCCATTTTGTTTTTACAAGTTTGCCCTCTCCATGTTAACCGCCCATTTTATCATCTGCTCTTTAACTGTCTCATCTTCTGTGTACCATTTTAGCAATATCTTATACATTTTTGAAATAATTTTTTTACCCCCCTCAAGCCATACATTCTCAATATCATTATATTTTTTCCTAAACCCAAAAGCTTTTTTATCTTTTTTAAACAAATCATTTATCTGTCTATATTGCAACCAACCATATTTAAAAGCCAAGTCCTCTCCTATTTTCATTTCAAATGTTTTTCCCACTGGTTTCAACATGCCTCCATACTGTACCCAATCTTCTCCTTTATATGTCGAAAAAGGTTTTATTACCTCTGCCGGTACTATCCAAAGTGGTATCTCGTCCGAGAAGAACCTTCTATACTTAGTCCATGTATCAAATAGAATTCTTCTAATATAATGGTGTTTAAAAAAGCCATCCATTTTCGCTTTCTCATACCATAAGTAGGCGTGCCAACCGAATTTACAATCATGTCCTTCTAATGCCAACAATTTCTTATTATCTAACGTAGTCCATTGTTGCAACCAGGTTAAACATACCGCATCATGCTATAGTCTAAAGTTTGGTAACTGAAATCCGCCTCTTTCTTTTGCATCACATAGAATCTTCATTTTAATCCGTGGTTTCCTCCCGTACAAGTTTGCTCTCTGAGCAATTGCACAGGTGCTTGCTGAGAATGCTGGGATATGGAGTTCACTGCCATCCTCCCTCTAATCTTTAAAAACCCTAAAAGAAAGACGCCTCTGTTCTTCAGCTTTTTTCTGTCCTTTGAGGAAGGGGTCAATTGAAAAGATTAGAGGGAGGATAGCAGTGAACTCCATATCCCAGCATTCTCAGCAAGTTCTGAGCAGCCCCTGTGTGGGGGGGAGGGGGACGGAAGAGGTGCGAATAAGCAGTTGTGTGCACATCGCTAAGTACTTTTTAAAAAATGGTGGATGGAAAACAAGAGATCTGTCAGACCTGCCTGATGGCTTGGGTGTGCAAGAGTGTCAGTTGGGCCTCAACAACAAATCCAAACTCACCTCTGCCTGCCAAACCAAAATGCTCTCTGGTAAGCAAGGAGGACACTATGTCTGTAAGAACCCCAGTCTGTCTGTAGAATGCGACACAAGGTAAGACGCAACCCAAACAGACTGCTGTCTGCTTTTTAAGTCTTTGCCTAATTATTACAATCTGTAACCGACAAACTTCCCTGAAATCATGCAATTGTACTTTGCTGAATTCTCCATGTGTGCCATATAGTCTTGGGACTTGCCTGGCATCTGTGAAACTTTCCTTCCTTATTAGATTCACTGGCCCAAGTCCCTTTGAAAGTTCTTACTTAGGCTGAGTTAAGATTCATAGATTGCAACAAGCATTAGGTTAATTTGAATTTGATTTTAATCATAGTATTCCTTGCCCCTTGAGGTCTACAGAGAAATTCTTCTCATGGGGTAGTGCACGATCTATGCAGGTACACAGCAGGGCCTTCTCGGAGGTGGGTCCAACACTACAGAACAATTTAGGACTAGGGGATTCATAACTGCCATTTATGGTATCAAAAGAATACCAAGTACATACAATGTAATTTCTACTCTTATTTAGCAACAAAGGAAGTCAAAGCACACCTATTGAGAAATAGGTTTTGGCATTTACATGCTAATGAAAAGATGCACCAACGCCTTTGAAAGAAGCAACTCCCCGTTTCACCCAGTTCAAGAGTTGCATTGTTATGATGGAGAACGGCATGTACAGGAATATTTGGAGAGTTAGTCCACACCTTTATTATATCTGCTCTACAAAGAGCTTTCACAGGATACATATAAATGGTGGACCTCGCCCCTCACCTCTCCCCAGTCAGGGAAAGGTTAGCTCTGTAGGCAAAAAAACCTCCCCAAAATACACCTAACATGTGCATTCAGATCCAGCAGGTGATTTCAAGAACATTCTGAAGCTGTGTGACTGACACCTGCGCTTGTAGCCGATACATGACAAGGTATTTCTACCCATTTGCAAGAGCAAGTTGTGGCACTAGGGGAACAAGAATCAACAGTATGTGCATGCATATATGTGGAAAGAATGCACACAGACTAGTAAAGAACCCCTCAAAACATACTGACTTGAAATATGGAATAGCTCAATGTCCAGCGAATGCTTTGCACATAGAAAGTCCCAGATTCAATCCCTAGCACCTCCAGTTAAACAGGACCAGGTAGGAAAGACTTCTACTGGAAACTCTGGAGAGATACTACCGAAGAAGACAATGGTCTTATTTAGTACAAGGTATCTTCATGTGTCTGAAGCACAAGGTTAATTCCTTGAGAGGGCATGATGCCATTGGCTTTTGCAGAGGGCTCTCAAAACTGTATTAAGGTTCCATGTGGGATATCTATGAACTAGTGGAGGATTAATGAGGGCCACCCCTCTTAGAAACCTCTTAACATGAGGGTGTCTGAGAAGCGACCATCCCTGTTCAGCTCCTAGTGTGGCTGATATGGCAGATACCTGCCTTCTTAGGGTACTAGTACTAAGGCCTTTCCCCAGACCGTCCTGTAGGAAGGTTAAGATCGTCTTAACTGATGCCTTAGGTGGGTCTGACTCCCTTGCCACGCACCACTCCCGAAAAACTTTCCAGGTGTGATCGTAGGATCTTTTGGTGGAGGCTTTTCTGGATGCTAGCATCGTGTCTACCACTCCGTCTGGGTACCCTGCTCCTACTAGCATTTCCCGCTCAGCCTCCAGGTTGTTAGCTTTAATAGCCCCGGTTGTGGGTGTCTTGTTGGCCCTTGGGATAATAGGTCCTCCCTTAGAGGTAGACGCCAGGGCTTCGTTACCGACATTCCCTGTAGGTCCTGGAACCAGGACTGCCGTGGCCAGAAGGGTGCAATTAGCACTACCTCTGCTTTCTGTTGTCGCACCCTTTGCAGTACTCTGTGTATTATCTGCAAAGGTGGGAAAGCATACAGAAGTCCCTGCGGCCACGGGCAATTGAGAGCGTCTGTCCCTTGTGCCAGTGTATTTTGACCCCGTGAGAAGAAGGCTGGGATCTGACAGTTTTCCTCCGTCGCGAACAGGTCCAGGTCCAGGTCCATCTGTCCGAACTGTTTGCCTATCTGTTGGAACACCTCTGGGGTCAGTCTCCATTCTGCCTGGTCCAGCCGTTTTCGGCTTAGCCAGTCCGCCAACCTGTTGTCCCTGCCT